TCAATTTTTGCTGCATATGTTTCCATTAATGTCCAGATGGTGACATGAGAGACTCCTGCTTAACAGGACAACAGTGCCAGGGGGACTGATGGGGCTGGTGTCTACAGAAGGCGAAAGCAGGAGGCCCCAGCCCAGGCAGGGCTGAGGCCAGCTCCACAGCATCGCTGAGTCTCACAGGTCACAGTCTGAGTTCCTAATCACCTCATCTAATATTCTCAAGTGCCACTCGTTATGACTTCGTTCCTTTTGGGTATTCAGGAATCTGTAATGCAAAATTGTTCTTTTTAGATTTTTATGCAAACGCAAAATATTTATAAGCTCTGTCTTAAATTAGCCTCCTTTCCAATCCCCAATCCGGTTTTCTCTCCCCCTGAATGTTAACAGTCTTATGGACTGGTGGTTTGGAAGCAAAAATTAAAGTAAACCCTCAATGATTTTTACTACCTAGGGAGAATTTCGGCACAAAACAGTGAAAAGACTAAAGTTTCAATATTTTGTAAGAAAGGCAATTAAGGAACCATCAAACAAAGAGAGAAATTCAAACCAGTCTGCTAGAAAAATGTTTCCTAAGAGAAGTCTACCTGTAAATATTTCATTCATTCTATACAAAGGCACCCACCTGCTTCAAAACTAAATATGCCCCTCAGACATAAAGTGGCACAGCCTACTGAAGAACACGTTGATGGGGACAAATCTCAAAGGCATTATGCTGAGTGATAAAGTCAATCTCAAAAGGTTGGATACTGCACAGTTCTATTTATATGATATTCTAGAAAAGACAAAACTATAKTGATTAAGAAATTAGGGGCTGGGGATATAGCTCAGTTGGTAGAGTGCTTGCCTCACATGCACAAGACCCTGGGTTCATCCCCAGCACCACAAAAAAAAAAAAAAAAGGAGGAGGAGGAGGAGGAGAAAAAAAAAGAAATGACCAGGGGTTGATAGAAGCTAAGTGCAGAAGTCAGAGAGTTCATAACCCACTTGAATCAAATGTATGAAATATGATATGTCAATAACTATGTAATGTTTTGAACAACCAATAATAAAAATTTTTAAAAAAAAGAAGTCGGGGGATGAGGGAAGCAATGAATATAAAGTAATAACATGAAGGTTGGCTGTGTTACAGAGACCTATGTGTAGGTTAAATTCCTAGAACTATAAAGTCCCCAAAGAGGCAATTTCAATCCTCAGTACAAAAAAAAAGAAAGAAAATAGACATTTTCAAAGTCTCACACACAGAAAAAAAATGAATGTACTCCTTGACTTAATATATGGTTATATCCAAAAAATAACCATCATAAATTGAAAATAATTAGAAACACATTCAACCGACCTAACCTACTGAACTCCCAGCTTAGTAGCAYAGTACACTGCACAGTGTGGCTGTTGGGCTCCATGTTGGCAGGACTGACTGGCACTATGGCCCCTTGCTGCTGCCCGCATCACCAAGAGTATTCTACCACATCGCACTCTCCTAGAAAAACACCAGAATTCCAACTGCAGTTCCCGTTGAATATGTACCACTTTCACACCATCATAAAGTCCAAAAACAGTAAGTTGGATCAGCTTCCATCATGGCCCAGCTGTACCCTCTTCAGTAGGTAGAACCTGCCCCCGGGACCCTGTGGATTCAGTGAGTTAGGCCTTTGGTTTTCCCAGCAGAATGAAACTACAACCTTCAGGCTAGCCCCAGCTGAATCAATAGATATTCTCCATYACTGGGAAAAGCTGAAGAGCTCACCACGTGCAGTGCCCACACCCTAAGATCAACACAGCACTTCCTAACACTGTGAAGAGCCCCACAGATAGAGCCGAGACTGAAGAACATCACTAACTGCTCAACTGCTGAACTGTCCACCCTTCTGGTGGTCAGCTAAACCACACGTATCTGATAGTGATGCTGCAGTTTGGATGTAGTTAAAGTGTCCCCAAGGGCTCCTGTGTTGAAGTGCAGTGCTCCGCATGGTGCTCTTGGGAGAGCCTAGTGGGAGGTCCTGGAGTCTTGCTGGGGGCACTGCCCTCGGAATGGCTTAAGAAAGCTGTTACRTGAGCCCCTTTTGGTTGTTTCAAAGAGTTTGTTATAAAAGCAACAAGCTTTTATAGCCCCTCCCCTTCTCTCAGCCTCCAAAACTGAACTAAATAAACCAGTTTGCTTTTATAGCTGGTCTGTTAGGTATTTCAGTATAGTGATGATAATACAAGTGACTTTCCACAAATTATATGAGTAAAATAATAAATACTATGAATTRTATCTGATCATCAACTAAATTACTTTTCTGTTTGCCTTACCTACATGCTACTAATAACAATCATTTTTAAATTCATCTAAGTAAATTCTTCTCTCAACTACAAAATGAGACGAGGAGATAAGGGATTAAAAAAAAGTCCTCCATCCATACCTGAACTCTCAAATAATGATGGCAGAAAGAAGAGATCATGCAAATCTTCACATGTAAATTTTTTAAAATGCTTAAAGATACTATAAGCCATCCAATAGCTGATAGAAGCCAGAAATCTAATTTCTGAAAACGGTAAAAACCTGTGAATTTGCAGCTTATTGGCTAGATAATATAATTCCAACCTCAAGGCTACAGAAAACATTGATGGAGAAAACTGTAGCCAGACCAGGTAAATGTATCAGATATGGAGAATTCAGAAGTAGGAAAGCACCAGAAATTTTAAAAGAAAGTTCTGGCAGCATGAGAACCACAGGATGAGCACGACCAAATGCAGAACATAAACTTCCTGTGTCGGGCATGGTGGCGCACGCTTGTTATCCCAGCAGCTTGGGAGACTGGAGCAGGAGGATCGAGAGTTCAAAGCCAGCCTCAGCAAAAGTGAGACTGAGTAATTCTGTGAGACCCTGTCTCTAAATAAAATATGAAAAAGGGCTGGGAATGTGGCTCAGTGGTTAAGCATCCCTGGATGAAGAAGAAGAGGAAGAGGAAGAGGAAGAAGAAGAAGAAGAAGAAGAAGAAGAAGAAGAAGAAGAAGGACAACTTCCAAAATCTCTAGTTTATAGCTAATTTATAAATGAGTAAAGGAGACCTCAAGGGAATGGCGGGGAGCAGCAAGCAGGGGGAGATCAAGAAATTAGAGAGATATCTGCTCTTGAAAGATGGAACTTTCAGTGAGTTTAGTACTTTTCTTAACTAAGGGTATTCTCCAATTTGGGTGGCTTAAGTGGCATAAGGCTGAAGCAAAATGGTTCAAAGGATCAGAGTAGAGTCCAGAACTGGCAGAAGTAAGAAAACTACTGAGAAGTTAAGTCACACCCATGTCCAAAGCTTGTCAGCCCAGGACTCACAGAGCAAGACTAAAGAAGCAGCCACAGGAAGTCAAATGATGTCAGCAGCCACATATCATAAAGGAGACAAAGTTGGCAGTTTGAATCCAGGTAGATTAGATGCCTTCTAGCACAAAATCCAAAAATCCTCAGAAAAMGGAGGAATTCATTTTCTGCAATATGGTTTGCCATTTTTTTCCAACCCAAAATTCCTAAACATGCAAAGAAACTGGAAAGTATGACCCATCCCCAGGAAGGKGAGGAGCAGTCAGTTATATTCAATATAATTGACTCTAATAGCTATCAGTAGACAAGGACTTCAAAATAGCTTTACAGATATGTTCAATTAATTAAAATGAAAAAATATATGGTCAACCAGCAAATGAATATAGAATTKCAACCACAAAAACTGAAAACTAGAAATATTCATTGGAATTCTAGAACCGAAATACAAAAATAACACTTTCAAGGGGCTAAACAACAGATGATAGATGGCAGAGGAGCCTGACATAGATCAACAGTGGTCAGATCACACTGATGAGAGTGAAGATGAGATCAAATAAATCCTGGACAAGCAGAGCATACACACGATGTAAATAGAGTTCAAAACCAAAATCAGTTCTTTCTCCCCAAAGAAAAACACTCAATTCTGACAACATCACATCCACAAGTGGTTTATTGGGATTTTTTTTTTTTTTTTTTTTTGCTAAAATTGAGAACTTTGGAGAACCAAAGATGGTGCTGGGACCAGTTGGATCAGAGACATTGACAAGACTTTTAAAGCCAAAGAATCTGTTGTTCAAACACAACTTTAAAGAAGAGCCCCATCCCTTCAAGCAAAGTGGTGCTCCTTACACTGTGGTGCTCACAGCTGCCCCTCAAAATAAGGCCCAGTCGCTTTACCCAACCTGTGATCGTGTGTGGCCGGACTCACTCTCTTCTGAGGTAATGTCTACACATCTTGGCATCGAGTGCCTTCTCCTCCACATGCCACCTGTTAGCAAGGGTATTTTTTCCTGACAGCTAATTGGTAACATACAGAAAAGAAATGTAAAAAAACACTGTGCTTAAAAGTTATTGTACATCATTAACCACCACAAGTGGTTTTTTTCTTTTTTTTAACTTATTTTTTTATTTATATATGACAGCAGAATGCATTATAATCCTTACTACATATATAGAGCACAATTTTTCATCTCTGGTTGTATACACAGTATATGCACACCAATTCATGTCTTCATACGTGTACTTTGGATAATAATGTCCATCACATTCCACCATCATTAATAACCCCATGCCCCCTCCCTTCCCCTCCAACCCCTCTGCCCWATCTAGAGTTYGTCTATTCCTCCCATGMTCCCTCTCCCTACCCCACTATGAATCAGCCTCCTTTTATCAAAGAAAACATTTGAYGTTTGATTTTTGGGATTAACCTCCACAAGTGTTTTTTACAAGGGACATGGGACTGCCTAGGAATCAAAGAGTCAAACTTTTCAGCCTGCTGGTCATTGAGATGAGACATGCACTGAAAATGAAATCCATACCTTAGGTTTCGTTACACAACAGCTTAACTGGCAGTATACTTGCTGTGCCAGGAGATCCTCTCCAAGTAACACTTGTGCTAAAGGTGTACCCAGGACAGYGGGACATCTCCAGTCCCCTCCCTCCCAGCACCTGAACTGGTGGCAGCCCCCAGATACCATGTGACCTTCACCTTTCACGTTGGTTGTGTAAAATCCAACAGCTGCTCCATTTCTCCACAGAATTTTTGCTCGCTCCTTCACAGAATGAGGCAAAAAAAACATGTCATCATCATCCAAACTTCTCTCCAGTCTTCCAAAAATAATGACATTTAGAACGAAAAGTACAATCCTTTCCCCAAAGGACTGAACCTTTAAAGACAAAAATGGAAAGAAAGAAAGAATAATCACCAAGTGAGATCAGAGGGGATACATTTTGCCTGCCCTTGGCATCCACGGCACGCTAGGCCACGTGTGTGCTCCCCCATCACAGGGTTACTTCTGTGTTCAACAGCCAATATGTGAATCATRGTGTCTCCACTGACCTGTTGCACCAATGTGGCCTCCAGGAGTGAGTTACAATTCCTGGGTCCCCAGGGCAACAGATGTGGAATGCACATTGACAGAGCACAATCAATCACAGGCTAATGAAACAGGAAGTTACCTCCAAAGGGGGCGGGTCAGGGCAGGCCATTTTGGCAGATTTGCTGGATATATCCTGAAATAAACCTAATCTGACCTTTTAAACAATGGCCTGGCCCTAGAATTCTGATCTAAAGAGGAGGGGAAATAATTGGAAAGATCAATGGCTACATCAAAAAAATAACGGATTTTCAATAGTTTGTGATAGATTGCAAACACACCCTGGAGTCCTAACCCCAGAGAATGACTGAGAATTAAGGCCCACCCCACTGCTGAACTCTCTTACCTATAATCAGTTCTTCATATAAAAGAAAACTGCATTATGGTCAAAATCATGCCCGTGGAGTTATAAGCTTTCTCCTTTATAAGACAAAATGACTTCACACTCCTGTCTGCTAAAATTCTCTGCATCTGTGTAGCCCATGAATGGCAAATATGTGGCCAAAATCAGTGACTTTGCTCCTGTACTCACAGCAGACATAGCTATTTGGCTAAGCCTGGAAGCTGTACTAGTCATCTTCCTGTCACTGTGACAAAAAACCAGAGATAAATAAACTTTAAGAGGAAAAGTTTATCCTGGCTCACAGTATCAGAGGTTTTAGTCCATGGTCACTAGGTCCTGTTGCTTTGGACCTGTGGCAGCACAGTACATCATGGCAAGAGCACATGGCAGAAGAGGCCTAATTACCTCATGGCAACCAGGAGGCAAAGAGAGAGGAAGGGGATGAGGTCCCAAAATTTCTTTCAAGGGTATGCCACCAATGACCTAACTTCCTTCCACTAGGCCCTGCCTCCTAAAGATTCTAAGACCTCCCATCAGCACCACAGTGGGACCAAGTCTTTAATATATGGGCCTTCGGGGACACTTAAGATCCAAGGTATAGCAAATSTGGGTTCAGGATCCTCCTAAATGCAGCCCTGTGGAAAGCTACAAGATACGGACCAAATGTGGCTCATTAGATGAAACCAATCAGCTATTTCCACAATGACAGTATCATATTGGATTTTACTCCTACAACACTGTTGTTTGACGGCCCACATGTTGTGCTGTTGTGTGGGTATGCTGTGTGCACAGACGTGTGTGTCACCACCACATCAGGCACACCATTAACTGGGTTGTGACTTCCACCCACGCGCTACCATTTGATTCTCATCACCCGCTGGGGAGGTCCTGGTTTACAGGTGAAGGAATTGAAGTTCAAAGAAGGTAAGTGATTACTTTTATTGATTTTCCTGCCTGCTTTCAAAGAGAACCTGAGTCATCTGGACAAGGGCTCTGCAGAACCAGGTTGCAAAACTGGCAGGGCTTCTGAGTCCCAGGCCAGTGCGCCTGCTCAAGCCCAGCCAGGCACTGATTCCTTCTGCACCCTTATTTGTYAGAACGGAGACTTTTGGAAAGACAAAAGTTTAATGCAAATATTAATGTTTGGCTTTCTATTTAACATTTGACCCTTARACAGTCATCATCACCATCAGCACCCAGACTTTCTAGGAGACCTTCAGCCATTCACAGCTCTTTGAGCCTCAATTTCCCCTGAGAAAGAGGAGGCCAAGGAGGAGGAGGAGGTCACTGAAGTCATCTCTAAAACACTCATCTGGTTTTCAAATGCTTTGATAATAAAAATAAGGCAGCCTGCAGCACCCTCGTAAATGGCACAGTGTTCAGTGCCAGTCAACTTATTAATTGGCCCAGAATGTAAAATATTTTACCTTTATCTGGAGCCAGATCTTAGATGAGGAAGAGATTTGTGGAAATCTAACCAAGCTCAGCTCTGAGAAGCCGCCACATTCTGTGTCTCAGACAGTGGCAACCAAATCAAGTTCAGACTTGGAGAACAACTAGCTAGTCTCAAAACCYGATCGGCGTGATGTGGGAGGTTATATTTTTCAACTCATAAAATCAAAAAGTTCAGGGGAAGCCAGAAGACAAAAACAGATTGCATCTGGCAGAAGGGAAATATCCAATCAAAAACTGGCAGGAGAAAAAGAAGAAAAACAAAATGACCTTAATTTATTCAATTTCCTTACAGAGGGGGGGAAAATGTGTGACATATGATTTTTTACTTAGAAACATTTCCGAAAACATAAAACTAAGATCCAGTTCTAATCCCTCCTYAGGACCATTAATTATGTTAACAGAGAGAGCATTAAGAAGGCTTTTTAGGTAATTAATGAAGAATGACTGGCTAAAAAACCATATGTAATTAAAAGAAAAACAAAAAAAATATGTAAAGACAAAGTTCTACAAGCAAAGAAAAGAAATATTCTCATGTTCAGTGGGAATATAACTTTACAACATGGTTTATTAAGAGGCATCCAAGGTTCTTTCTGTTCACAACACAGGTCACATTTCCAAAAGGTGGGTAGGGGGTTGTTCATCTAAACTCAAAAGAGATGACAAATGAAAGAAGTCTCCACTCTCATTCTGAAACATATGTATAGAGCAATCTGATTCTCCCTAGCATTCAGAACAACCAAACACTAAGTAGTCACCTGGCCCACTTGTGACAAAAGAGCCAGGACAACACACCYAGGCACATCAGGCACCACACAGGGTTCATTCATGCTCTTTTGTTGAATCTCAAGCCATCATGAATCTACTGGAAGAAAATCCTTTGCCTACTGGGCATGGTGACACACAACTTGGGAGGCTGAGGCAGGAGGRTTGCAAGTTCAAGGCCACCCACGGCAACTTAGTGAGGCTCTAAACAACTTTGCRGACCCTTTCCCAAAATAAAAAAATTTAAAAGGCTGAGGATGTTGCTCAGGGGTTAAGAACCCCTGGGTTCAATCCCCGGTATCAAAAAGAAAAGGAAAATAAAATCCTTTGCCAATAATACCTATGGAGTCAATTAAAACCAGACCTAAAACAGACAACCCACAGAATGGAAAAAGAATAGTTGCAAATCTTGTAAGTGATGAGGGACTCGCATGAAACAGTCCTACAATGCAACAGTAAATGTCAAATAATCCAATTAAAATGAGGGCCAAGGATCTCAACAGACATTTTCCCAAAGAGGGTGTACAAATGGACAGTGAGCACTAAAAAGATGCTCTACATCCTGAGCCATGGGGAGACCATTTCACACCTGCTGGGGTGGATAACATAAAAGATAGACACGCATCAGAGTTGGCTAATGGGCTATAGAGACAATGCAACCCTCCAACACCAATGGGAGGGATGTAAAAATGGTGCAGGGGCTGTGGAAGGCAGCTTGGCACATCCTCAAAATTTGACATACAGAGTGACCATATGACTGGCAATTCCACTCCCAGGTATATGCTCAAGAAAACTGAAAATATATGTCCTCACAAAAGCACTCATAGAAGTATTATTCATAGCAGCTACAAAGTGGAAACAAGTCAACGCCCATCAACTGATGAATGGGCAAACAAAATGCTGTGTGTACCTACAAAGGACCAATATTCAAGCAAGAAAAGGAACAAAGCCTTTAAACATGTTAGAACAGGGATGAACCTAGGAAGATGACGCTAAGTGAAAGGGGCTAATCACGAAAGGCCACATGTGTACAATTCCATTTCTAAGGCAGGTCCAGAACAGGTAAATGTATTGAGGCAGAAAGGAGATCAGTGGTTACCATGGGCTGGGGAAAGAGGGGCGTAAGGGTGCAGGGTTTCTTTGGGGATAAGGAAAATGCTCTAGAACTGGTGGCAATTGATGTACAACTTTTTGAATACACTAAAAATCACTGAGTTGCAATCTTCAAAAGAGTGAAATGTGTGGTATTTGCATTACCTCTCAGTGAAGCTGTTGTTTAAAAAAAACTAAATTTTTAAAAATTTTTCAACAGAAAAAAGAAAAACTAGACCGAGAACTTATTCTCCAAACTGAACTTGAACAAACACTGATAGGTCGATGTTTATTGAAGCCCATGTACATCCAGTGGCATCCCAGACAACTGTGGATAGACCCACCATTTCAAGACTGCAAAGAAGCATGGTCTTTCTCTCCACCTAAAGAATCAATATAAATATGAAAACAGGCAGATATGAGGCAAACTGTCCAAACTCTTGGCTGGTTACTACCCTCCTCATTAACCTCTGTCCTAGCCATAGTTCAGTCACAAGGACTCTGCCAGAACCTCTCAGGAGCTGCTGCTGGGCCTGCCTTCACCTCACCATCCCAGGGCTTTGCTTTATAAGTACTCTACAAAGTTACAGCACTTGAAAGACACCAAACCTGACTGACTGTCAGAGAGACTGGAATTGATACCCAGCTAAATCGTCGTTACCCACTCTGTGACGCAGTCTCAATCTCTTCATGTGCAAAACAAATTCTGAAATCCAATAAGCCCTGTTAAAAGTCTGAGGTAATGTACAGGATAGATACATTTCTGAATCTGATGCCTATGAACGTCTGAATGCATCAAGCAGAACTTTCCCACACAACAGAGACAGTAGAGATGATAGTTTCCAAACTCAGGCATGAGAGACCACTCAGGAAGATAAAACAGACTTCCCATCAGCCAGGGACGTATTGAACATAGCCAGCTCTTACCATTTCCCTTGCTGCACTGTATTATGGGTTGAATTGAGTCTCCCCAAAAAGATCTTGAGGCCCTCACCCCTAGTACCTCTGAATGTGACCTTATTTGGAAGTGAGCTTTTYTGCAGGTGAAAAGACCAAGATGAGGGCATTAGGGTGCTCCTAATCCAACCTTTTAAAAAGGGTGAATTTCAAGTTAGACATCTCCACAGAGGAAACCTAAGATACATACAGTGCATCAAGTGTCATCTTCAAGCCAAGTAGACTGAGGCCATCAGAAGCTGAGAGAGAGCCTGGATCATATTCTCAGAACCTCAAAGGAAAGCAACTGTGGACTCCTTGTTTTGGATTTTCAGCCCCCAGACCTATGAGACTATCAATGTCTGCTGTTTGAGCCACCCAGTCTGTGGTAGTTGRCTAGGGCAGTCCTAGGAAGTGAGTCACAAAGGTGAACTGCTGCATATTATTAACACRATATTAAGTATGGTGACTCTGAAAACCCTGTTTTGCGAATGTTCACTTAAAACTACATTGCCCACCTGGAGTGATGGTGCCCACCTTCAAACCTGTAATCTCAGTGACTCAGGAGGCTGAGGCAGGAAGAATACAAGTTTGAGACCAGTCTCAGCAACTTAGCAAGATCCTTTCTCAAAATAAAAAATAAATAAATAAACAAACAGGACTGAGCATGTGGCTCAGTGGGCAAAGCACCTCCTGGGGGTTCAACAATCCCCAGTACCAAAATAATAATAATAATAACAGTAAAAATAACAATAATAAACTTGCATCACCTCACCTTCACGAGACCTTCTCTTGTGGGATCAGAGGTTCTTAGTACATCTTCTGTGGACCACCAGGATTCCTTTAGGTAAACAGCCACAACTAAAGAGAAAAACCAAGAGGAAATGATGGCGTCACAGCCAACCAGCCACCAGGGAATCCCAAAAGCATGGAGCTAGAGAAGGTGCAAAAGATTCTTTGTAGATAAAGCAATGATATTTTTAGAGCCGAAGTTTCTAAAAGCACTGACCAGGGCAGGGCATGACCATCTCTCACAGGACATCACAGATGCTTCATAGGTGGCTCATCAATGATTCCAAAGCAAGACAAGATATATCCCCATGTTGTTGGGAAAAACAAGGTACACACCAATATCGACACGTTTGATGGGTGAGAATTACATTTTTCACATGATGCAAACATTTATCAGTCCAATCATTGGCCACAACTCAGAACTCCCCACAGCCAGTGAAATCCTACATTATCTAAGGGCACTGAGGGAACTCAAGGAATTCCTGCATAAGGAGCGTCACTGTAGTGCTGGGTCCTATAACTTAGAAGGAGACACCAGGACACATTCCCAGATTCCTCATCAGAACTGTCCAAACCAATCACCTGAATTGACTGAGAGGGTCCCCTGCAGATCAGCTCTCAACACCTAACATAGAGCTGGTGCAAGGTAGGGGCTCAGTGTCTACTTTATAAAGCCAACTGGTGAGTTGATTCTCTCCTCCTCCTCCTCATGCTGCAGTCACCACATCCTATCAGGTCCTCCTCCCACTCAAGATCTCCTCCACAGATGACTGAAGTTGTTCCTCTTCCCGTCCCCAGCTCAGTGTCCCCCCCAGCCTCTCCCTACTGAGCAGTCATTCCGAAGGTAAACCCCATCATAGCCACTGCCTCTGGATCTCCACTCTTCAACCCATGTTCCTTGCTTAAGAATTGCATTTAAAAAAAAAAAAGAATTGCATTTAAACACCAAAATTACTTGTTTTCTGATATCTTTTTATATYCCTTTTATCAACATTTTTATAACTGCTTCTCAAAACAGGTATCTGAGCCTGAGGGGTCCAGAAGTCACAGAATTAAAAGATGTACTTTCACCACCAAACATCAACATGGAGTTGAAAACAAGTCACTGTAACATTTGACGCAAGTTTCAAGACTTTAAAGTACATTTTGTGGAACACTTGGGGTAAGCTGGCATGGCCTTCTTCCCTGTCCTGCTCTGCTATTTAAGAAATGTTAGTAGAAAACACTGGAAGATCAGGCTACAAGGCAGGAGCCAGGTGTCCAACAAGACGGCATAGCCAGCCCCTCTTCTCCAAAGATGAACAGCATCTAACCTGCTACTCGGCTTCATGTCAGTGGTGAACTATCATTTCTGACAATGGTTCCAAAATTCATAGAACCAGCTGAGAGAGCAGGGCCAATTAAATGCTTGACATCTGCCTTCATTTATTCAACATAATTCATTTCCAAAACGGAGCCTCCTAGAACTTACAGGAGCTTTATAAAGCCATAAGGGTTATTCTCATGCTTAACAAGGTGAACTAACCTAAGATGTTCTGCTTACTAATAGATTGCGTTTCCATAACACAGATGTTCAATTTACTAATACAGTTTCAAACAGAAAACAGGTTCACATGGTACCTTGCAAGTTTTACAGTGCACTGCAGAGCATTAATTAGTCCCACAAGGTGTCACAAAATAGACTTAACTGGTTGAAGTCTTTTTTCAAAAGTCATCTTGAACTGCTAAATGCATATAATATCAAAAGTGAAGTCCAATCCAATCTAAGAATCTAAAACACATGTTCCTTAAAACCAACTCTTGAAAAACCACAAATTGGCCTTCTGGAAGGCAGTAGCTTTTGATCAGTGAAGCATGATCCCTCATCCAGAGGAAACAGCAAAGAGAGATGGCAGCAGAGCCTCTCCCTTGCAGAGAGGCTGCCCCAAGCTCAGCAAGGACAAATGATGGATCGGGGGAACTGACAGGTGCCGCAGAGCCAGCTTCGGGGCATCACTGCCAAGATCCTGGAGCCAGCCAGCTCCAAGCGTTAGAAAATAAAAAAGCACAACATCCCGTGTTTTTAAAAAGGAAAAATACCACCCAGATCAGCATCCCCCAGCTCTCCACTACCCAGGCCTGGGAAGAGACCAGATACATGCAACAAGTTAGGCCATTGTGAGACCAACCAGCAGGGTGTTGTGAAGAACCAGTCTTGCTGTGCCAACAAAATTTCCCTCTCCCTCTGAGTGACAGGTGACACAGACTACAAGGAAGATGTCAGTAATGGATTTTGTTCTATTACTCTCACAGATTTCCAAAACAAGACAGTGAGGTCCCTAAGCAAACTCTCAGTGGCCCAGATGTACCCAAGGTGAAGCAAGATCAACTGAATTCAGCTCTGCTTGGCTGAGTTGTGGACTGCACAAACAGCGTGTCCTCACTCCTTGGGGAATGAGCCTCCATCCTGATCCCTGGGAGCTGGCAGAATGCAGAAGGAGAGAGAGTTAAACAAGCGGTTCCAACACAGGGCAGGGCATGATGGATCCTAGAACTGACCGACCTAAGGACCCAGACGAGGGGAACTGCCAGTGTCCAGAGAGCTCACTTACTTTRGATCACTGGGTAAAGTTTCAACAGGCAGAGACACCAGGTAAGGCACTGCGGACAGGTGGGGATAACGTTGAGCAGAGGCACAGAGCCCTTCAAGTCCAAGGCCATGTTTAGACAAACCAAACATCAGGGAAAGCCAGTGAGAACTAATAAAAAAGAAACAACTGCAAACTCTGGCTCAGCCAGACGCCAGCTTCATTCACTCTCAAGTCTAACAGATCTCAGCACCAATGGACAGCAAGACCACATGAGGCATTTTAGATACAACCCTGGGTAGCTGCTGGTGCAGGGAAAGGAATTCAGACTTCAGAGACAGACAGGGCTCAAATTCTGGCTCCTCCAGTTACCAGTGACCTGAACCCATCCCCTCCTGACAGGTTCACCCACCTGTCAAATGGAGACCACAATGCCYTCTCCCTGATTCTCATGCAGGTTCAGTGAGAGAGTTCACCTCACCAAACTGTTTTTCTTAAGGTTTTGGGAAATTTCAAATAGCTTCTAGAAACTTCCTCCACCTGCTTCAAGTCTTGCTTTGAGAATGCAAAAAAAAATAATAAATGGAAAAAAAACTATTATTATTTCCAACGTCAGACATGCACTTTGTAAGACATCATCTCTCCCTTGGGAGCTCTCTCTCCCCAAAACCATCTTTCTGCTCCTGTTTGCACAAAAACATCTGTCTGTCTTTCACAGAAAAGCACATACAAYGCTCGCTCAAGGAATTAAGTTTGGATTCCAGCTTAGGACACCTCCAATTTAGAGGAAGGGCTGGAACCTGGGGCATGAAACAGAATAAAGTCAGAGCAGCAGGCTGCGTGCGGYAGGAAAGCAGGGAGGAGAAGCAGGTCATTCAGACTGAGAACCAGAGAGGCTGGAAGGGCAGGTGCCCTGAGCAGGGCCAGAAGAAGGGACCAGACAGCAGTAAGGAGAGAGGACCACCCCAGGTGGGGGAAGTGACAGCCACAGAGATGTAAGAGGGCATGAATGGGAACTGCAGRAAGAGCCAAAGTCGTAGGGAGCCTCAGGGAGATGAGGCCAGTCAGGTAATACGGGACTCTGTAGACAGCTACAGTCATCATGCTTCAGAGGGACACAATCTAATTACTGACTTAAAATGATAATATCTAGCACAACGTGTCCAAGCACTCACCAAGCGCCAGCCACAATGCCAAGTTTAGTATTTCACAGAATGGTTCTCAGTCTGATTCTGTTTCCCAGGTGAGGCTTAGAAGGGTTAAGAGACCTGCTCACAGCCCTGTGCCTGTGAACAGCAGCACTGGTGATGGATGTGAGCCTGCATGGGGCTCACTGGTTCCCAGGGCCCTGCTCTAAGCACTATGCCACAGGTGAAGACAGAACTGACAGGACTGCAGAGCAGGGGCCAGGCCTGGGCAGAAGGCTGGCAGAAAGAGAGAGAAGGGGAGGGGACAGCAGGWCAGGCCAACGCACTGTGCTGAGAAAGGAGCAGATGGAAAGGGAAGGCCACAACAGAGCCAATGTTTCTGGCCTTGCATTATCTGCAGGACTGAGAGGGGTGCCTGCCATGCCCTTGGCAAACACTGACTCTAGGCCGGCAYTACACTTGGCATCAGGGGTCCAGGACAGAAGACACAGCCCAACAGGACTACAACAGGCCACCTGGTCATGACCACACGCTATGCAAATGCCTCAAGACATGAGCAGCCACTAGGAACCCACTCCAGGACTGCCTGGGAGGGCTCAGGGCAGAGTTACAAGACCAGGCCTGGGCCAGACACATAGTGGCCAGCCAGTGAGCAGGCACAGGCCATGGAAGTTCACCAGAGGCCAGGCCAGGTATTGGCTTTGTAACAAGTCATGATAAGAGTCCAGGAAAGTAAGAGTTATTTGATCAGAATGGTGTTTTAGGAAGAGAACAATTGGCTACAACCAGGCGAGAGGAGCTAGTCCTTGTGCAATTAAAAAAAWATATATGCTATTGAGGGCTGGGGATGTAGCTCAGTGGCAGAAGATGTGCTTAGCATATATGAGCCCCTGGATCCAATCCCCAGTCTCCCAAAAAAATTATTTGAAAGGATTATATATATTGTATGATATTATAATGATGGAGAAGTAACATTATACAATTATCCAAACCCACAGAATATACAATATCAAGAGTGAATCTAATTTCAACTATGCACTCTGGGTGCTTACGTCATGTCCATGTAGAGCCACCAGCTGCAACAAATATCCCACTGGTGCAAATACTGATGAAGAAGGAAACTATGTATGAATATATGGGAATACTCCTTGTCTTCCTGAGCCTAAAACAGTGAAACCTAAAACTGTGCACCTAAATTTGCTCTTTAAAAAAAAAAATAAAATAGGGGCTGGAGCTGGAGCTGCTCAGTGGTAGAGCACTTGCCTTGCAAGTGTGAGGCACTGGGTTTGATTCTAGCACCATATAAAAACAAATAAAGGCATTGAGTCCATACACAACTAAAAAGATTTAAAAT